TTTAAAAGAGTCGATCATCAGATATTGTCCAAGATTAACCTTCAGGGTGGATATAGCTCGCTAGCAGCCTCGCACAGAGGATCTATCCACATCATCATTTACCCAGAATGCTTTGTGTGTAAATAAAATGGCTCTGTCCGTGTAATATATTTTTAAACTTTTAGTTTAAAAATTATAAAAACTAAATATCCTACAGTATTTTTACAGTCTTTATTTTACAGGTAAAATACATGTTTATCAAATAAAGCCTAATGTTGCAACTAATCATGGATCCTTTTAAAGGTTTTGAGTGCACCAATCATTTAAAAACCCTAAATTTCTCTGGCTACCKAACTTTGGGAGTTTAATTCATTGTTTCATGCTCAATTCTTTAAAAATCTTCACTCCTGTTCCCTAAAACATCGATTTAACTGTTACCAACTGACACCATGAAATCACAACTTTTTTAAAAGCCAAAAACTATTGTTTGCGCTCATAAGGTTTTTTTGTTATTATTACTTGTTGACATTCTCAGAGGGATTTAGAGTTCCCACCCTGCGTACAATAATGGGCACATTATGATCCCAACTGGTCGGCACTGAGAAAGGCCACTTTGTAAGTAAGTCCAGTGAGTGGGAGGGTCACCAGGGGGGGCAGTCTTGTATATATCAGAGCAATGTTCCCCTCATCCAAGTCCTCAGCACGGATCTCTGTGGGTCTCGCAGTCACCGGCTGCTCCTCACTAGCCTGAAGAGAAAAGGTAATAATCTTATATGTGTGTCTTTAAATCTGTGAACCAACTGGGTTTGACTGTTTGGCGGTTTGCTGGCAAACGTTGCATCTGATGTGACTAATGCTCAGGAGAAAAGCCATAAAGGTCCCATTTAATGGTTATTAAGGAGGGTTAACAGGACCATAATCAGCCCTGTGATCATAAAAAAGGAAACATCACGTGTGTAGATGCTGTTATTCAGTTAAACATTACCCGCCCCCCCTCKACTTGAGAATGTTTTTCCCCCTCAGCTGGACAGATCCAGCCTGCACAGAGTTTGGTCGAAGTCATCCTCCTGGACTTCCTGCCTGCCTGGTGAAGTGGATGCCAGGAGGGATTATAGGTGAGCTGAAACCCCCCATGATGGGTGGGGGGGACTGAGAAGGTATACCTCTCTGAAGCAGAGCGCGGGCAGCCATGAAAGCTGCATTGTTCACAAACTTTCAAGGCTAAGAGTCTGGCACACCTTTAGAAGGAAACATGGTTCCAAAAAAATWAATAAATAAAAAGGCAACAAGTCTAACAAACTCACGTAAGACGATGTATCAAAACTAAACAAGAAGATTTTTCTACCTTTGCCTCTTTTAGACACTCATTATTCTCTTCCATGAAACAAACCTTGAAGTTATCTGGGAAGCCTTATCTGTAAAAATAAAAAAAAGAAAAAGAAAATCCACAGATTTAGCCAACAAAAATGTGAGAAAAAAAATATAAATTTGTTTAACTCCAATATAAACCTACTTTTACCTTAATAAGATATCAGCAATAATTACAAACTAGATGAAGAAGCCTTCTTTTATCTCTCTGTGCTTCTGACTGACTGTTCTCTGTTTCTTTTTGGCAGCTCAGAAGTAGGTCTGACTCGGTCCAAACGGAGGGGCTCTACAGTGTCTGACATGACACTGCAACGCTCCGCATCTCTGACGGAGTCATTTACTGCATCTGGCAGCATTTCTAACAGTGTGTGAGACTCACGTCTGAGTAAAGGGCAGTCCTGGTGCGGGGCGTTGTTTTTTTCTTCTTTTTTTTTCTGTCCTGTGAAAACTCCAGGCATCAGCACTATCCCTATCACAGGTAGATAAAGGAGGGCATGCATCAAACCAATCTGGGGTTTGAGCCTGTTGTGTCTCATAAGCCGACCTGTGAGGCATAAATAAAGGTGAGTGAATGCTTTTTTCGTAATCGTTATTTTGTAATTTTTTACCAACYGAGCTAATCTTGTGTTTGAACATTGTGTTCAAGTGAAGTTTTGGACTTTGAGAAATATTTGCTCCTCTTTTGAGYCTGACCTGACAATTATTCATTGACACATCTTCTGATCCTCCTCTCCCTCCCCACCTTCCTCTCTGTCTCTTCCACTTGTCTCTCTGTCTTGATAACATCAACCTGTCGCTTCCCATTAAAAAAAACATKCCCCTCATGTCATCCTGAACCAAACTCTTAGAAACATGCCACGCAACGTGGTCAAGTCCTTTCTGGTGAGCCTGTCTCGGAGGAAGCCCATCGAGCCCGACGGGGAGCAGTCCACCTTCAACCGATGCCTCACCACCCTGGACCTGGTGGCCCTCGGAGTGGGCAGCACCTTGGGGGCCGGGGTCTACGTCCTCTCAGGAGAGGTGGCCAGAGACACGGCCGGACCCAGCATCATCATTTCTTTCTTCATCGCGGCCTTGGCGTCCATATTTGCCGGACTGTGTTACGCAGAGTTTGGATCCCGGGTTCCCAAAACGGGCTCYGCCTACCTTTACAGCTACGTGACGGTCGGAGAGCTGCTGGCTTTTATCACCGGCTGGAATCTGCTGCTCTCTTATGTCATAGGCAAGTAATGATGCACTTCTCTGTTCATATTAATAATGTGGCTACAGGTAGTTTAGAAATATAACCTGTAGGAATTAACATTTGATTGAACTCATCTGGCCTGCATGAAAGTTGGGCACTGATGAAACTGCCTGTGAATCTTTGTTAGCAAAATATCTCCTGAACTGAATCCTGATTTCTAGTGAAACTCTCAGAAAATGATCAYCACAGGAACATCTATTTTGCAGTGTTAAATCAACACTTAAAGAGTTAAATCTGACACTGTGTCCAAGTCTGGTCCTCATCTGCTGGTGTCAATTTAACTCTTTCCATWGTGTTAAATTTTCAGAGCACAATTTAACTGTAAACTGAATTAAAAATTAACACTGACTAACACTGTACAGTGTTAATAAAACTTAACACTTCAAGTCAAATAACTCTGATGAGAGTAATTATGATTCTAAGCAGAGTTAATAAGATATTCCACTGTGGTGACAAATCAACTCTGATTCTCATGCTTTTCAACACTGCATCAAATTATTGATGGTTAACACTGGAGGTTCATTTACCTCCTATGAGTATTAATTTGACACTTGATCGTGTTGATTATTTCCTCTTTTGCTATGTAGAGAGGTATAAAACAGACACTATGATGTGTCATTACACAGCAACACTTTAGAGTTAAGATCAACTCTTTTCAGTGTTGCATTAACTCTACACACTAATTGCTGGATAAGCGTATTGGAGTCGACCTTCACACACCAGGAAGTGCCTCTCACGCATGGTGTCGATTTCTGGCCAATAATACAAACTTAAACTCGATCAGCTGATAAAGCTGAACAAAACAAATAACCAGAACAACTAATTTTTACTCATGAACTTCTTTAATAGTCATAAGCATGCAAAAACATCAGGATTACCCAGCATTCCTTGCTGTGAAAATACTGGTCTGTCTGGCATGAGGTGGAAGAGGGCGGGGCTTTTCAGAATACTTTTTTCAACACTGCATGGTGTCATATAACAACACTGTTAAGTGTCATAAAAGACTTAACAGTGGGCGGAGCTTACTGAACACTGTCTAGTGTTGAGACAACACTGAGGAAATCAACACTGTGAGTTAACACCAACACTGGGAGTCAACTCTAGGGGGAGTTAAATTAACTCTGAAACGTTTAACACTGACATTTTAACACTGGTTTTTCTGATTTACTATTGGAGTCAACCTGATTTCTAATGGTGGCCGAAGCTAATCCACCTCAGCAAACACAAAAATGGCTACAATTCAGTCAATTTTACAAATACAGAGTGTTGTGTAGTAGTAGCTGAGAGTCACCCCTACATAGTGGAAATTTTCATCAGCACTGACACATTTTCATTTTAAAATTAGATTAAATTAAAAGCAGGAGTTCAAAACACACAACTGATCCACCATCAGTAAGACGGCTCTGTACTGTTTCTCTCTGAACTTCAACCTGACTGGGAAGCAGATTTTTCTTAAGAAAATGCAAGGGATTGGTTTAAGATACCAAACATAATATAACAACAGGAAGGAAATATTCTTATCAAACGCTTTGTGTTTATGACTGCAGTTAAATAGTGACGCAGCCTTATTGTGAGTTTATTGCCTCTTTCTGTTCAGGAACATCCAGTGTGGCCTTGGCGTGGAGTGGGACATTCGATGACCTCATCGGRGGGGTCATATCCAAGTTCTTTGAAGAAAATGCAGCCATGGGCCTCCCTGGCCTGGCCCCTTACCCAGATGTCTTTGCAGCTTCTCTCATCATGATACTCTCAGGTACACACTGACGGTGTTAAACATTAATATCATAGTTTCTGAAGGAAACAGTGCAGTTATTGTCCAAAAAGTTCTAACATTCTTCTATAAAACCCAGCAGTACTTCAAGACTTACTTATAGCCATGACAAAAGACCAATGTTTTACAGAAATGAAAAGTAAATCCAGACTGAGAAAAATGTTTAAAGCAACAGAGCCTGAAGTAGGTCACCACTTGCTGACTGAAAAACACAATGCTGACTGAAAATTAAGCCTCAGACGAACTGCTGCTCTGCAAAAACTATAAATTATAGCAAATTCTGAAGCTGCAATGTGACAGAAGGTTCTGATCATCACAAATGTGAAGTTTTCTGTCTCTACGATATTTTTTGTAGATCTTGTAATTTTTACAAACAGCCTTTACTTCTAATTTTAAAAACGGGTTAGAGCTCAGAAATATAATTTATTAAAGCTTGGCTTTGCAAACTTTACAGTCTGCTGGGTTCTGAGTGAAAATAAGCTTACAGCACTGAAAGGCACACAAGYTTAAAGAGGACAAATACACCACGTTTTGATGAAACAACTGCGTAAAAAGTGTTAGCATTGTGGAAATGGGATGCATTTATTTACACTTTAAGAACGTTAAGAACACTTTAAGAATTATAAAGTGTGACATTTTTACACTGCAATCATACTAAATTCTCCAAAACTTAATGAAAAACACACTTTTATATTTTAAAAACTGTTAAAGATATCAAAATACCAGCTAAAACATGAAAAGTTCAACTTTTTATGACCTTTTTAAATTGTTAATGATGATTTATTAAAATCTTTTTGATCCCCAAAGARGGAACATTTTAGATTTGTGATTATGTTTACATTGTCAACAAATATCAATGAACCCTATTCTTGATTAAGACAAATGTTTTAACTTTCTCTTTTTAGTTTTAATACTACAAAAAAATCATGATGAAATCAGAATATTATTTAAAAAATCTTCTCAATAAGAGTTTTTCAGTGCTTATACATCAACACCGTTAACAGCTTAAATATGTCAATAACATTTCACCTTTCACACAAAGGCGTGTTGGCGTTCGGAGTAAAAGAGTCAACGACTATCAACAAGATCTTCACAGCCGTCAACATCTTGGTGCTGGTCTTTGTGACCATCTCTGGCTTCATCAAAGGGAACATTTCCAACTGGCAGATCAGTGAGGAGGCGCTGATAAACGCCACCGCAGAATACAAGTAATGTCAAAGAGCATTTCCATCCTGACGCTGTTTGGGAGTGTCCATTATCTCACCTTATCTGCCTCGCATTTATCTCAGGTTTTTTGTAAATATGTGATAATGCTTTTTTCCCATCACGCAGAAACCTGAGCTCTACGGTCAACGTGACGAGCATTTATGGAGAGGGTGGATTCTTTCCATACGGTTTTAGCGGAACCCTGGCTGGAGCTGCAACCTGTTTCTATGCATTTGTTGGATTCGACTGCATTGCAACGACAGGTAAAAAGAAAAAGAGGTAGAAAAGAAGTCAATTAGACCACATAAAAGTATTATATTACCATTACTGATATGTCTCATGTTTCTAACTAGTAAACTTGAATAAACCCAGGCAATAAAATAACAAAAGAAAAAACTGTTGCAATAAAGTGCAATAAACATGCAACTTTTGTAGCCTTAGATAATACCCCACAATGAACTTTTAACAGCTTAAAACTATAAATAGTGATGACAATAAAAAATTACTGCATGTGAATCCAGCTTCTTCCTGTCTATTGACCAACAGTAGAGGAGTTGAGCCAAGAAGGGCCACCCACCTGATTTGTATAATGAGGCAGAAATGCATAAAGTTAAATAAAAACAGGAGATAGAAAAATGTAAAAACAACACATGGAAATAAATGTCTTGGGGTGAAAAACATTAAAATAAATTTAATAAAAGAACTTAAGAGACACAAATGCATCTACAAGTAAAAGGAAAAACAAAAAGACATTTTTTAAACAGCTAAATTTCAATTAAGTGCCAAAACATATAATTTGTTGAAACTAAACTGGAGAAATGTCAGTTAAATTATAAAACATGAGGTACAGTTCTTTTTCAAATTAATTAGTGCATGTTCTGTATTTATTTATTGGGCCATTTATGCCTTTCTGCTTTTATTTTGAATCATGTTGGTTTTGGTTCTCCATATTTTATTTTCACCATAGATTACTCCATATTTTACATCATAAATAAACAAAAGACTCAATGATTTAGAGCTGGGAGCTTTATTTGAACAGTCATAACAAGGTTTCTCATGGTTCAGACCAATCTGTCTATCTCTCTGAGAGAGCAGCAACATCAACACTCGTTTTTCCTATTTGTCTCTATGGCAGTGGTCAGATAAAACATTACACTCTCAAACAGACATCGTTTTTATAGCTTGTCATAACATCGGTAGACATTCTGACTCCAAGCAGGTTCGACTGGGGCACTGTGGCCTTGATCAACCCATAAATTTATATTCACACTTTCTTTTAGTCTCTACAGTAGATTTGCCTTATTTGGAACCAACAAGTCTGAAATAATTTGTGGGGTAGGGACCAAACACAATGACTTCTGACTTATCATCTGGTAATTTAAGAAAATATTTGGCTATTTAAAATTTATTGTCAGTAAGACAAGCTGTAAGATTAAAAAGGCTGCTGAGATGGAAGAAAGCCAAGTAATGACCCCTGAGCTAAACCACAACTTAGACGTGTAATTAATAGCATGAAAACAACCAAAAAACTAAAAGAACTGAGTGCTGATATATCTATCAGCACTCAGTTGTAGGTCATTAGTCTAGTTGATGAGCTAAGATTATTACTGACCTAAATCCACAGTGATCTCTGAACTTTGAAATGATCTAAAACCAAACTGAAAGCCGTTCAAAACACTGTTATCATTCATAAATGATAGCAAGGGTGCAATAACTTCTGTAGCGTACCCGAGTAAGTATTATGCTATATTACTGATTACCTGTGATAGATTACTTACTGCAACTGTAAGAGAGAGCAAGTGGGGTTTAAGCAATGGATAATGCAATGGATGGATGGATGGATGGATGGATGGATGGATGGATGGATGGATGGATGGATGGATGGATGGATGGATGGATGGCAGGTCTGTGATAATTAAAATAAATATCATGAGTACCAGCCTGGTAAAAAGCCATTTTTCCTTTTTTTTCAAGGTGAAGAGGTGAAGAATCCCCAAAAGTCTATCCCTGTGGGCATTGTAGCATCCCTCCTGATCTGTTTCTTGGCATATTTTGCTGTGTCTGCTGCCCTCACGCTGATGATGCCCTACTACATGCTCAATGAAAAGAGCCCCCTGCCTGTGGCCTTTGAATATGTGGGCTGGGGTCCTGCCAGATACGTTGTGGCTGTGGGATCACTCTGCGCCCTTTCCACCAGGTCTGTAACGGAGGTCCTGTCATTGTTACCCCTGAATCCCAAGCAAAATCTTTTATATAACCATGTAGACATGGTATTTAAATGTTTACTCTCATATTTACCAAGAAATATATCAAATGAACAATCACCAGTTGCCCTCTCACTGTTCTCTAACTGATTTTACTTGTGTTAGAATTTGGCTCTTATGACCAATAACTTTCACAAATGTTCAGTCAGTTGAGTGGTACCTAATTAAGTGTCTGTAGGACACAATTACAAAGAGTTATGAGGGTTCAGGATGAAAACATAGAAGAAGAGAGAAAAAAATATTCCAATCAYTATGTCAGTATTTGTAACTTTTTGTATTGCCATTTAAGTGGCTGCCATAGCCTGCAACAGAGGAGAGATCTTTAAGAAACATTGGAAACGTTTTCCGTTTCGATCAGAGTAGAAGACAGCTTTCATATCAGTTTGTTCGAAGGTCAAGAGGAAGATAAGCCCCTTTCAAAAAGCACTTCTGCAATCTTAAAGTTGTTCATAAAACACCAACTTCCCACACAGCGTGAACTTTCATAAATGAAGTGACTTTGACATGGAGGACATTGAAACATTGGTCAGACATCTTTCATTTGGCGTTTCCTCAGTCAGCTGATTGCAAAGACAATCTTTATTTTTTTTATCACACTCTTGAGCTTTTAGCCTTTTCTATACCGACCATTACTGCTTTGTCAATAAAGGCTCCCTTTTTTTTCACTTAAGGCTCCCACATACTCGGGCGTACTGTGTGCGGTCCATGAGCCGTGCGGACTCTGCGCATATTGTCCATGGGTGTTTGAGGCTTCATACTCAAGTGTTCTGACCGCCTGAGAAATACTTTAATTTCTTGCAATTTTAGTCATGATGTCAAGGACGAGGAGGAAGAGATAGTTTTAGCATTTTAGCTTTAAAATAACAAAAGAAAATAACTTACCTCACCCAGGATTTGAGCTATTTCCTCCTACGAATTTGTTGCTCACTGAAAGTCTTTATATTCCTTCATTGACGTATCATAAAGTTTTCTAATCTCCTCCATGAGATGCTCTTCAGATTTTGACTCCATTTTGTCCACAAATGACACCGATTCTCACCTTTATCTGTTTGGTGTCGCATCCAAAACAGTTCAACATGAATTTGCCGGGCAGTTTATTGTGCATCACCGCAAACGTAAAAAATTGATCTCTGCACAGACCAGTCCAGCGGTTGGCCGCTTCGAGTCCGCATTGAGTCCACCTCGAGTCCGCACAAACCTCCTCAGAGCAAAGTACGCCSCAGTGTGTGAGGGACTTTACTCACCTGGAGGCTCAGGGGCAAAACAAGGCAGGCTGACTTTAACTGACTCATTCTGCCTTGGTTGGTTTGTAAATCACACCAAAACAGCAAAAACATTCTGAAATGATCTAGGTTTTTTTAATTTATTTTTTGAAGCACTGTTTTTCTGTTAATCTGTTTCTAAAGTACAAACAAGCTGAAGTGAAGTTGTTCTTGTCTTTCCAGTCTTCTGGGTGCCATGTTCCCGATGCCCCGAGTTCTCTTTGCCATGGCAAGAGATGGACTGCTGTTCCAGCCTTTGACCAAAGTCACTGCTAAGGGCAGTCCTGCAATATCTACTATAGCATCTGGAACTGTTGCAGGTACAGAAACTGCAGCTATATGTGCGGTACCATGTTGAAGGTAATGGACTTGAAGTGATCCAGTCTTTTTTGTCTTATTTTTAAATCTTCAGCAATCATGGCCCTCTTGTTTGATCTGGAAGCCTTGGTGGAGATGATGTCCATCGGTACTCTGTTTGCTTACACACTGGTGGCCATATGCATCCTTATACTGAGGTACATTTGTTTGTGGAATGTTTTTTGAAGCCATATTGCTAATCTTGTAAATGTGACATCTTACTTTTCTGTATAAATAAGGTACCAGGCAGATTCATCCAAAGACTCTGATCTACAGATCAATAACTCAACCTCTAGGTTTAGCTTTTTTAAACCTCCATCGTCTCCCAATTCTTCAACCGCTCGGACGGTCACAATCTTGACCGTAATCTCTGGTAAATAAAAAAATATATAAAGATGAGTGAAACATTTTAGGACTCTTCGAATGTTTTATCTATTTATTTGGGTCTTTTTTGTGTTTCCTTTGTCCTTCTGCAGTTGTGGTAGTGGTCGCTCTGTGCCTCACCTTAGTTCTGGCCATAGGTCCTCTGTCTCGCATGGAGGCTTGGAGCATCACACTCGTCTGCATCTTTGCCCTCATTCTTCTGCTCATCGTTGTTTTTATCTGGTTGCACCCACAAAATCCTACAAAGGCTTCTTTTATGGTACTAGTACTTTAACTATTCTAACCATTCAAGCAACAACWGGTAAGCATATATTCAAAATTAGAAATAATCATATGTAATATTCTATTCCTATAGGTACCATTACTTCCTGCTCTGCCTTTAGTGAGCTCATTCATCAACATCTACTTGATGGTGCAGTTAGGATCAGCCACGTGGCTACGATATGCTATCTGGATGTTAGTTGGTAAGACCATTGTTTTTACGATTAACAAGATGTTATCATACTAACTACTAAAATATACTGTCCACACAGTACGTTTTGTCTGGCTCAGTTCTGGTTGACACAAGGCACCAACAATAATGCTAGGCCCTGATACCACAAAGAATGATGGCCTTTCAGTGYCCCAGATGTGGTTTGCCAGAGGTGGTCCATGCATGGGCCAGCACCCCATGAACCAAGTGCCACAACAGGGCCAGCTGTGGCACAGACAGATTTTGGGCCACATAAACCAAACCAAAGTTGGGCCAGTTGTGGCATGCTATCTTTCTAGTGGACAAATTCAAAAGTCACTGGTGCATAGTGGTGAGGACTATTTCTTCAAATATTCAWAAATTTAAGAAGTAGTATTGTAAACTCTGACAATGATACCCAAAAGTGTTTGCTGCTTTAAAGGTCCTTGCAATTATTGCAGCATTTTTCTAGTTTATTTGTAGTTTCTTGATGTCTCTGAATGAATATTGAAACATTGCTAAGGTCTGGTTCTTGCTTTGATGCAAGTCTTTAAAAATGCAAACATTTGGTACAAAAGACCTCCATGGTGTGCCACATCAATGCTCTCTGGTAAACAGAAGCCCAGTTGAATTTTGAGTAGGGATGTCCCGATCCAGATGTTTTGGCTCCCGATACAATCAGATTTTTTAATGATTAATCTTTCCGATACCGATCCAATACTAATCCGATAGCTTTATTTCTTTTCAAGTTACAAGGTTGGTAGTATTAAAGCGAGCCCTGCTGTTCCCACCATGAGAAACATGCAGTTTGCAGATTTTGCAAGATGCAGTTTCAGCGTCATTGTTTTCCATTGAAAAGTGTTCCCACACTGTGGACATGGTTGCATACTTGTGTGCATCTTGACTTCTTAACGGCAGTTGTAAAGCATGATGATGCTGAAAACTGTCGCTAAAACTGGATCGTCCCGATCACATGACTAAATCCGATTCTACCCGATTTTAAAAAATGGCCATATCTGTCTGATACCGATAGTGAATATCTGATCGGGACATCCTTAATTTTGAGTCAATAAACTATGAAGTTGAGCAGTATATCTTCCCACACAGCAGATAGGTGTGGGCCAGTGGTGGTTAAGCTGGCACTGCTGACATAGCAAGTGGTCTGTCAACCAGATGTGGGTCAGGTCTGGCAGTGATGGCACAACTGCCCCGGTCGTGGTTTAGTTGARGTGGCCCAAATCTGTCAATGCCACAACTGGCCCGATTATGATTTATGTGGTGCTGGTCCACGCATGGACTACCTGCGGCAAACTACATGTGTACCATCAAAAAGGCTGTCATTCTTTGCGGTTTATGGGCCAAGTGTTACCTTTCAGGTATGGACATGTGGGRCAGAACTGAACCAGACCATTTTTGCTATGTGGGTTTGCTCTGACAACTCATGAATACCTTTGCTACCAGTTGTGTTTAAAAAACGATGTTAAACAATAACTAAGAAATTAACAGGCATGCTAATATTTACTTCATCTACAATGGCCATCGAGCTGAGCTTTAGCTCTGAACTGTCTAACTCTATYTCCTTTGTTTTTGCCTGCAGGGTTAGTGATCTATTTTGGCTACGGCATCTGGTTCAGTGTCCAGAGGAAGCGTCTCCGGACCAACCAAACACCCATTGAAACAGTCAGCGGCAAAACAGAGAAGGACATCGAAAAAGAACATAGATTCTGAGCTCAGACGGAGTGAAAACATATTAACTCAGATGTTACACTGAGTACTTGTTCTGAACGTGGAGCTGCTGTCCTCCATGTGTCCAAGCTTATCCATCTCTAAATGTTTGAGAGAAAACCAAGCGTGCGGAGCAGTGACCTTACTTGGTAACATTTTTTTATAAACCAAACTGCAACTTTTTCACATCTTTGTTATGTATCCATTTCTCTGTCATAATCTGAAAACTTTGAGAAACAACCTACACGTTTTTTTAGACATTTTATAAAACAGGGTATGGTTTTTAAAGTCATTTTGCACATATTTAAACGACACTAAATTGTTTAACATATTCTAGCTTGTATGTTGCCTTTCACAGAAACTTTTAATCTGCTKCTGGAATAACCACAGCTGTAAAATGTGTAAATATACTTCAGTGCATTTGGTTAAAATAATAACTAGAGGTTATCTGAGTTCATTTAATTGATTTAAATTATTAGACTGAACAGATATGAAAAGGCTAATTGAAGAACTGTATGATGTATGTAAAGTTGTACTGATTATTTTGTTTTTGAGTGTAAATATGGAAACTTTTACATGTTTGCTAATTTTGTGGCTATATGTGTTTTCTTAAATTAAAAAAAATCAGTCGAGTTTTACAGTGCTTTTGTGAATTGGAGTGGTTTTGTTTCACGGTTCGTTGACTGATTTTAAAAGAAAGAAATGCTGCAGTTCATTTCTATCTACAGGTTTGACTTTAACAAACTGGCCGAGAACAAAAGGACCTTTCTAGCCAGCTTTTTGTGGGTCATGTTCAGAAACACGGCTTACTCAGTCAGTCATATGGAAAGATTTAAACAGTTTACACCAGCATGTCATGTGTGTTTTATTAGAAATGTGTGCCTTGTTTAGAAGAAATCAGTTTCTACCGGTTGGTTGGTAAACTTGCAAACCTGTTCTCATGCCAGAAAAAAAATGTTCTAACAAGCAGTAGACATCTTTACAGTTAAAGTTAAATCCTGTTTTACAGCAGGATTATTCCCAGCCTTAAATTTATGACTAATCCTTTTAAAAAGTGATTAAATAGGCACTGAAATAATAAGTAAGTAAACAACATGCCACAGAGTGTGACATTTTGCTGGAGTATCAGAATAATTTTCTTTAAACACAATGACAAAATAACCAAACACAAACTGAGTGGCATTGTGTATATAAAACAGTTGTGATCTTACACCTTCAGGATATAAGGAACAACTCCTTTGATGACCAAAATGTTCATATTTTTAGAGATGTTTTGAAAGGGGAGGTAAGGGAAACTTATTTTGTCAAACAAGATAAAAGCAGCAGAGGAGGTCTCAGATTTCAGCTTTCCACAACTTCCAGTGCAGCGTTGAGCCTGATACCCAGTCAGCTTCACTCTCATTCACACCTTCACACYTGACCAAAGTATCTTTTGTGCTGGAGTACCCGTGTACCAAGAAACTATAGGTGACATAAAGATTTATAAAAGTTGTTTTTCACATGAACAGCTATGACATTTTTGAGCTTCAAAGTGGATTTAAGWCAACAAGATTCTCTTTGGTCATGTCCCCACTCAGACTAGCCATTAGCTCATCAATCTAATCAGACTTGAACTACATTTCCCTGAGGTTGTTCAAAAGCTTTCTACAAAAAGTAAGTTATTACTTGTTTGTAAATCTGAATTTCTTTTCTAAATTGAAATGGTACACTCTTGACTTGAGGCAGCAAATTAACACCATATAGGAACACAAATCCTGTTTATCTTGTTGATAACTGTTCATGGAGTAACAGAATAACTTAATCGCATGACGTTTTAAAGAGTTGACCATTGCTGAAATCTGAAAAAGCTGAACTTTAAAATGCTTATTCTTTTATCCCCAACAATAACTGATCTGAAACTAGAAACAACCTGAGCATTATCAAACGGATACCTGCTGTAATTGTATCATTACATGAAGTTAATCATTACGAAAAACAGTCATTTCAGCTGAAAGACCTTTACTTCCTTATTTATCATATCCACTCTGGTCTTTAAACAATCTATTTTAAAAGTATTAAATCAATGTAGAACACAATGACCGTCACATAACAAAAAAAGTTTTTAAAAAACTGCTAAATAAACATTAAACTTGCGATCTTATGAGTAAAATTAAATTCAGTTGAATGTGGAGATTTCAAGACAAAGTTTGAAATAAATTGTGAACAAAGTTAAACTGTGGAGATTAGGAGGTTAGTTTGTAACTAAATGTTTGTAATGGACAGACCACAGCCCTCTGGGCAGCGTTTGCACACTTCCAGTCCAGCAGCAAAGTAAACAGGATCTGGGGCCCTCATTGGTCCGGACGCTCAGGAGGAATTTGGGGGTGCTGCTGCTCCACACTCAGTTGGAGGAATGTGTGAGTTCCTGCTAAACTGCTCACCTTGTTTTCCGTTTAGGTTTTTGTACAGTGAACTGACTGCGTTGGACCTCGCGAACTAAAGAAGCCACACGCCACTTCGATAATCCACCGATAAACCATGCTGCTARTGAACTTATCTGGGTTGAAGTGGGGACTGGTGCTGACCTCTCTCCTGGTTTCTGCCCTAATCTCTGAGTTAGGTGAGTTGCTTTGATTCMTTGCTGTGAACTTCTGACAACACACCAAGGAAGGAACATTTCTTACAGTCTACTTCGAAAGCTGGCTATGATTAATTAAATAATATATCCAATATCCAGTTTCTTCATCTGTTAACTACAGTTGAACCGCAACATGTTTCTTATTGTCCAAAAGATGCTCAAGAACAGAAGACCGCTGTAGGAACTAAACCTAAACTTGGTAAATCAACAAATAAAGTGCCAAAACCTGGGAGAGCAAAACCAAAAATCAAACCTACACTTTCAACTCAGTCCCAGACCTCCCTAATCCAGGTAGGACACCATCATTATATTTAGTCATTAGGGGTGTAATGGTATGATTTTGTACTGGGGCAGTTTGTTACAGACACCTGCAGGTAAAAGGAACTAAACTACAAACTCATTGCTCACAGGTGATCATCAATCCCATCTAGAAYTGGGTGAATATTTTATTTTCCTGCATTTTACTGATAGCTGCACCAGAAAATGAGCAGAGAAAATTATAATCAAAACATTTTAAACAATAACTATATGCACACATTAAAAATACTGGTACTACGAAGTACCCATGTTACCCTGAAGGATATATTTTGTACCTGGTTGCAAAATATGTTCATTTATGGTATAAACAAAAGGTCTAAAACATGTATTTMTTATTTTAAAGCTACAAATGAAAAGACACAGGTGCGCCACCAACGGGGGGACAGTGGGGGCAATGGCCACCCCTAAAAGATGGTGGCTTATCTCAATAACCAAAAGAACAAACATAATCTCTCAACAGAATCTGTTGAAGCCTGATGCAGGCATACTGCTGCACCCTAATYTTCATCTTTTTAAATTGGTTTTATTATTTAATTTCTAACTGTCATGTATGTAATGCTTAAAGGTCCTTAACAGAGGTAAGTTCAAAAAGGTTGGTGACACCCTGAGCGTACAGACAGGAGACACTTTGGAACTGAGATGTAGAGGCAAACCTGTGCAATGGAGTGTCCCACTTTATCTGGAAGAAGATAATGACGGAAGACTCAGGTAAACTATGCAGTTCATAAATCTTTATTACGGGTCGTGATAAGAGAATTATAAAATCAGCTTGGGTCTGTATGTTCCTTGCCTGGTTTTATGTTTTCCCCCGCAGGATTGTCCAACACCAGCGATACAACACCCTGACTTTAGTCAACACAACAGGTGCGGACACAGGAGAGTACATCTGTTACCCAATGTTCTGCGAAGACCAGGACTGCAGGAAAGAGTACAATAAAGCAGCCAAAGTCTTCATATTTTTTCCAGGTATGGTAAATACTGTACATTTTATTGAGAAATACTCATGGTGATCATAGAACTGAAGGCTTTCCTTTACTAACAGCTGAATGGAAATCTTTCTATAAATCTTATCAGCAATTTGCCTTATCTTTCAATGAACCAACCAGACCCACAAGAATTATTTGTTCCCTCGTCCAACTATTATGAGATGATTCAGCTGAGGAGCAACTGGCCAACGGTCCTCCCCTGCCAGGTGACGTCACCGAAAGCCAAAGTGACCCTGTACCGGGAGTTCCCACCTGCGCAGGTGGCAGTGGACGGGACAGAGATCTCCTTTGACGTGAAGAAGGGCTTCACCATCCATCGTCCTCGACCTTTTCACGCTGGAGTGCTGTACTGTGAGGCCAGTCTGGGCGACCTGAGGCAGAGTTCCATCAAGTACATACTCATCTATGTTAACTGTGAGTGTTGTTGAGAAGTTATTCATTTTCCCTCAAGCCCCAAATCACKTGAGGTTCAAAGAGACAAGGATCAACATGAAAAGGATAGCTCAGATCTCTGAAACTGGCTGTGAACAAGTCACATTTTACTTGTAGTAGGTAGCTCTTTGATTGGGGTTAAGACCAAAAACTGTTGCCACCAATTCAGAACTACTTCAGTCTTCACTTCACTTGCAAAAAGTTTTCTGATTTCAGATTGTTACACCAAACATTTTGAGACTTTTAATTWGATTTTTACTGGAATGTTAAACATCAAAAGACGCATATATAAAAAAACCTAAGTTAAGAGACTGGTGCCTAACAAATAGTTGRCCTTTGCAATCAGATCCCACCACAGCTCCCGCTCCAGTGATCCAGGCTTCATCCAACTCGGTGTCTGTGGGGGAGAACCTGCACGTTAACTGCACTGTGATGGGAGAACAGGACGTGACCYTAGAGTTCAGCTGGGAATACCCCGGACAGGAGGTCAGCCACAGTTTCAAACTGTAAAAATTAAAACCCAAACTCTACGGTTCACTGTGCGCAAGCTACAACAAACTAACCACATTTCTTCATGCATTGCTTCCATGAAGTCAACCTTTCTTGTGATTTTAGTTGTTTTTCTGAAGGTGGCCCTGTGATGGGCTTACGACCTGTCTCCGTGTCTTGCACAGTGCTGGGTTTGGGCACCTGCAACCCCTGCAACATATAAAAGGAAAGATGATAAAGCTAATGAATGGATGGATATCTAAAGGAATTTCTTGGTTTTCCCTGACATTTGGGCACATTTTTCATCAAAGATACATGAACTGAGAACTTGCCAAACAGTAGATGAACAACCTCTTTTAGGTCCTGCATTTGGTCTTTGTTGAATTTATTCCTATTTCATTAAATCATGTCTTTCATATCTGGCTGTAGATCTATTATTAGGACTGACTCTACTGTTTGTCCCAAACTGCATGTCATGCTGAAAAATATGGCCTGGATGGAAAACTAGTGTTTAAAAAACTGCAGACAAAATTATTTTTAAAAGCTTCAAAAACTGTAGAACTACTAATTATATCACTTCAAAATATTACAAGAATGTCTGGCTTCTTGGAAGCAATTAATTTCAGATTATTAACTAAGCAGCTGAGTGGTGATTCTTTGCAGCTGACCTTTAATCACTCTAGCTTACCTTGTCCTTTTACTTAGTTCATTATTAGTCACCAGGCTTTGATCCTGTGGACTGAGAATACTGACATGCAACAAATTATTAATGACCCACCTCAGCAGAACTCAAATGAGTGACTTTCCCTCCCATCATCATCATCATTTCTGTTCTGGTTGCAGATTGGGAGGCCCCTGTACACTCAAGACAGCGTCAGCCGGGTGAGCGGAGGAAGTGCTCGTCAGCAGTCTCGCTCTGTCCTCTTGGTGGACGAGGTGAGAGAGGTGGACCAGGGGACGTACACCTGCACTGCTGAGAATCTGCAAGGAGCCAAATCAGTGTCCACCACCGTTAAAGTGCTTCCCAAAGCTAAAGCCAAGAAACCACGAGTGTGATGCTGCCGCAGGTCATCGTCTCTGACAGAGAAGATGAGGACGTTGTCCAAGACCAGCAGACATCTGTCCAAATTCACAGCAAGGCTTTGTGTTTATGAGCAATAGACACACAGTTTTTACCTGTTGTTGCTCTGCCACACAAGAGCATAAAAAATACAGGTCTTTCTCAAAAAATTAGCATATTGTGATAAAGTTCATTATTTTCTGTAATGTACTGATAAACATTAAACTTTCATATATTTTAGATTCATTGCACACCAACTGAAGTAGTTCAAGCCTTTTATCAGTTTTAATATTGATGATTTTGGCAAAAAAGTAAAGAAAAACCAAAAATCCCCATCTCAAAAATTAGCATATCATGAAAAGGTTCTGTAAACGACTTATTAACCTAATCATCTGAATCAACAAATTAACTCTAAACACCTGCAAAAGATTCCTGAGGCTTTTAAAAACTCACAGTCTGGTTCATTACGCAAAACCACAATCATGGGTAAGACTGCTGACCTTACTGCTGTCCAGAAGGCCATCACTGACACCCTCAAGCAAGAGGGTAAGACACAAAGACATTTCTGAACAAATAGGCTGTTCCCAGAGTGCTGTATCAAGGCACCTCAGTGGGAAGTCTGTGGGAAGGAAAAAGTGTGGCAGAAAACGCTGCACAACGAGAAGAGGTGACCGGACCCTGAGGAACATTGTGGAGAAGGYCRGATTCCAGACCTTGGGGGACCTGCAGAAGCAGTGGACTGAGTCTGAAGTACAAACTTCCAGAGCCACCGTGCACAGGCGTGTGCAGGAAATGGGCTACAGGTGCTACATACCCCAGGTCAAGACACTTTTGAACCAGAAACAGRAGCAGAAGCGCCTGATCTGGGCTACAGAGAAGCAGCACTGGACTGTTGCTCAGTGGTCCAAAGTACTTTTTTTGGATGAAAGCAAATTTTGCATGTCATTCAGAAATCAAGGCGCCAGAGTCTGGAGGAAGACTGGGGAGAAGGAAATGCCAAAATGCCTGAAGTCCAGTGTCAAGTACCCGCAGTCAGTGATGGTCTGGGGTGCCATGTCAGCTGCTGGTGTTGGTCCACTGTGTTTTATCAAGGCCAGGGTCAATGCAGCTAGCTTTCAMATTRTGGAGKACTTCATGCTTCCATCTGCTGAAAAGCTTTATGGAGATGAAGATTTCACTTTTCAGCATGACCTGGCACCTGCTCACAGTGCCAAAACCACTGGTAAATGGTTTACTGACCATYGTATTACTGTGTTCAGTTGGCCTGCCAACTCTCCTGACCTGAACCCCAGAGAGAATCTGTGGGATCTTGTGAAGAGAAAGTTGAGAGACACAAGACCCAACACTCTGGATGAGCTTAAGGCACAAGACCCAACACTCTGGATGAGCTGAAGACACAAGACCCAACACTCTGGATGAGCTTAAGACACAAGACCCAACACTTTGGATGAGCTTAAGGCACAAGACCCAACACTCTGGATGAGCTTAAGGCACAAGACCCAACACTCTGGGTGAGCTTAAGGTCTCTATCGAAGCATCCTGGGCCTCCATAACACCTCAGCAGTGCCACAGGCTGATTGCCTCCATGTCACGCCACATTGAAGCAGTCATTTCTGCAAAATGATTCCCGACCAAGTACTGAGTGCATAACTGAACATAATTATTTACAGGTTAACTTTTTTGTAGTAAAAACACTTTTCTTTTATTGATCGGATGAAATYTGCTAATTTTTTGAGATAGGAATTTTTGATTTTTCTTTACTTTTTTGACAAAATCATCAATATTAAACAATAAAATGCTTAAACTACTTCAGTTGGTGTGCAATGAATCTAAAATATATAAAAGTTTAATGTTTATCAGTACATTACAGAAAATAATGAACTTATCACAATTTGCTAATTTTTTGAGAAGGACCTGTACATGAAGACCAAGCTTTTAAAATATTACCAAAAAAAATGTCGAGCAGAACATCACAGGGATGAGTTGGATCATCAGGATGTGCTCATTTGAACCAAACGTATCAGTAAAACATTACCACCCTACTGGTCTTATTGTAACTGAAAGGCTGTTTCATTCAGAGGGCAGCATGGCCTAACAGTAAACTGTGGAAAGATAAGCAGAATAAGGACAAATCTGTTACACCAAATGCAGACATCTCCAAAAATATACAGTTATTTTTTATTTAATCATAAGAAATATGATGTCTTTTAGTGTCTTTTGCAACCATCTTTTTACAAGATCTCAGTGCATCAGTTACACGGCCCATTACTAAAATTTTTAATCTTTCTATTACACAAAATATGTTTCCAAGCATGTGGAAACCAGCCGTTGTTGTTCCCATTTTTAAAGGTGGAGATCCTCATTCCGTGACAGACCACAGACCTATAAGTACATTGCCCACAGTGTCTAAAATTGCCGAGAAACTGGTAGTAAAACAAATTATCAATCATCTAAACACCACACCCTTCACTCTCCACCCTATGCAGTTTGGCTTTAGAGTCAATTACTCTATTGAGACTGCTACTTGTTACTTCACTGAAAACATCAGAAAACTGTTGGATCGAGGTGGGGTGGTTGGTGTTGTGTTTCTGGATCTCAAGAAAGCCATTGACACTGTTTAACATGAAATCCTGCTGAAAAAACCATGCAGTTTTCATTTTTTCCCCGGCAGCACTTAAATGGATTGAGTCGTATCTGACTGACCGTTCAGAATCCTGTCATTTCATTRAGCAGCTCTAAGACTCTCAACTGGTATTCCTCAAGGATCGACCTTAGGACCTTTGTTGTTTTCGCTTTACATAAATGATCCTCCATCTGTTTGTGCTGATGTATCTGTTCAAATGTATGCTGATGACACCGTAGTTTATGTTCATGGCAGTAATCTCTCCCAGGTGGTTGAGAAGCTCACTAACTCCATGSTTAWTATCACAGCTTGGCTGAAACACTCTTGCCTGCAGTTGAACACATCTAAGACTGTGGCAATGTTTTTTTTTTTTTTTTTTTTTTTTTTMTTTTTTTTACAAAATCCATCACTAATTTCAGTGTTGAGCCAGATGTTTTTGTATCAGGAGAGAGGTTGCAGATAGTATCCGAATAAAAGTTTCTGGGAGTGGTAATTGATTTAAATTTGTTATTTAAAGCACATATCAAAAGGGTCTGCAATCGTATTAAATTTAACCTCAGTAACGTCAGACATATTCATTATCAGATGTCCACACAGGTAGCTAAAATGTACATGCATAGTATGATTCTGTCCCACATCAATTACTGTTTACCTGTTTGGTCTCAAGCTAATGCTACACCACTGCAATCACTCTATAAACGCACTGTAAAAACTCTGGATAAGAGAACAAATATGGTACAAAAACATGGTTTACTCAGTTGGGAAAATATTATTAAATATTCAAACTTACGTCTCATCTACAGAATTATTCATGGTCTATTAGCCCCTCCACTTCAACAGTTTGTTAAAATCCTAACATCTAATAATGTCAGAACCAGAGGTGCAGTTCGGGGAGACTGTGTTATTCCTCTTAGGAAAAGTGCTTTTGGTAAAAACACCTTTTCTGTACGAGCTGCCAACGAATGGAATCTTATTCCTGTGATCATTAGACACTCAAGTTATAACACATTTAAAATATTGTTAAAGAAATGGCTTATTGATAATCAGAGCTGTCAACATTAGACCAGCTCTTGCTCCCCTCAGTTGTCATCTTGTCTCATGTGTGGGTTTATTGTTTATTGTTTGTTTGATGTTTCTTTTACTAGTTGGTTTATGTGTTTTTATATGCATTTTAGCTTATAATATTTTAAGTATTTTAAAGTGTACTGTATTTGTTATTTTGTAATTATGTAGTTTTACATATAATACTTTTACATTTAATATTTTAGGGTGACTTTTACCATCTGTCTGGGGACTGCAGGTGAAAACTAGCCTTCTGGCATATTTACAGAAATGTTATTAACATGCACTGTCCCTGTAATAAATAAAGGTTTAAAAAGAACAAGTTATGTCTTTGGAGGCAGTGTGCTGCACTCCAGTGGAGGAACAATAAAAACTATTTGTTATGTCTGAGTTTGTTGTTGTGTTTTATTCAGAAGCAGGCATCCTGGTTTTACCTGGTGTAGTGAGCTGACTGGTACTTCTTGTCTGATAAAGAGATGGAAACCTTTTTAATCCCATGTGGAAATGTGAGGCATCCATTTGGTTATATTGAACAAAATCAGTAAAAAATTAATGAGGAGAAATAAAAAGTAAAATACAAAAGAAAAGAAAAATAACGTATCGCAAGGATGAGTATATGTAAACATATATGTATATATTGACTTGCTTTGAGAGACAAAAGGACAAAAGCAGCAACTTTCCAAGAATTTAACATGAAGCATGGGCTTATGATAATAGTCATGACTTTTCAAATGCACATTTGAACTGTGAACTGCAGAGTAGAAAGTAAGCCTCAAACAGTCTGCATTTTATGGTTGGATTTGTTTGCTGTTTCTGGTCGTATGTTTCACCCTTTGAGACAGTTTTCATTCATTCAATCCCAGTTTGTCTCAGCTCCTCAGCTGTGTTTTATCTGCTTTTTAACTTCAGCCCTGTAGACCTAGGCCCAAAGACCTTCTGCTTTTAAGTGTTCAATTTGCATTCTGGGTCTGAACCATCGTCATAATGTGACACAGTCACCATGCAAAAACTATAAATTGATTTTTGAAAAATCTATAGCCCGTTAGTACCAGAAGCATCTGGTTCTCACATAAAGTTTATCAGTTTTTACACGTCCACAATATTTTATGTAGAAGACGTACATTAAAAAAAGACTTCTGGTTCTGAGCTTTGCTGTGAGAGTTTGTGTGTTTGTGGGCACACTTTGCACTCTGATGGTTTTGATTGAAACTATGGTTGGGGGAAAAAAGACAAAAAGCCTATATTTTGTGCACAAAGTGTATAAAAAATTATAGCCTTGTGGGGATAAGAAGAGGTTGCAAGTTTAGACAGCTAAAGTGTTACAGTGTGACAGCCCCTCACTGCTTGTTTTTTTCATTTTTGTCTTTTTATCTACATCATACAATGTAGCACACAAATTCTGATCCAGACACACACACACACACACATTTTAATGGATCTTTGTTTTGGGTATTTCTAAAGCTGCAAGAGGAATAAAACGTTTGGTGAAAACAAGAATAAATGTCTTACCTTCCAACATTCAAGTAAATTTTGTTAAAAGAGAGAGCTGTTATAATCTTAAGGGAAATGAAATGTTTGTGAAACCTTGGTTTTGTACGAGCCTGAAGGAGCGATCCACTTTAATCCAGGGAATAAGATTATGGAACAACATGAAAGATGAGGTTAAAAATGCCAGATCCTTGTACATATTGAAGAAAATGATAAAAGCAAGTATTCTGAAGAAATATGGAGAATTATAAGTGAATTCATGCTAATTGTTGTTTGAGTTGGTGTCTTAAATTTTGTTTTTAGTTCATTTTTAAGTGTTTTAAGTTGTTTTGATTTTTGTTGTATTTTACTTTTTTTTGAACATATTTTGGTTCTAAAAAGGGGCAGGTATAATAAGATTTATTCTTCTTCTGCTGCCTTTCACTTTATTTTATTTTATTTTGATTGCATGATTTTTGTACTTTGTTAATTTGTGTTGCAAATGAAATGAATAAAGAACTACTACTACTAAAGAATAAAACATCACAACAACTAAGCCAACTTTGTTTTTTTAACATGTTTATTTTGAAACTACGGCTCAGAAAATGTCCATAGGTTCCTACAATATAAGTAAAAAAATCTACTCTTCATCAATTCTTTCTGTGAGTTTGAAAATAAACTATGATATCTTTTAAAGATTATAGCTGTTGACATTATTGATAATAAACCCATTTTAACATAAACTTTTAGTTTACCTTTGAAAAAAGTGATAAATATTTAAATAACTCATTTCAGAATCTTTTTGCACAACAGAGCATTAGAAATAACCAGCCAGGGAATATTTTCTGTAGAATTTGATCATGTTTATCTGGAGTTTCTCTGCAAAAATTCAAATTCTGTGCACTGTTTTAGTTTCACCTGCAGGTGGCGCTGTGCGTCCTGTCATCTTAAAGCCTCTCTGTGCAGATACGGATGGGGAGGGTGGGAGACAGGAGTGGGACAGCCTGCCTCTTGTGTTTCCTCAGTCTGCTTTCTGCTGTTCAAACCTCTGGGAGGGAAAAGGCTCAGTCCTGCTCTGTGCTGCTTCTCCTCTTCGTTTGCAGCCCGATCCAGACCCAGATCACCTCTGAAATCTGGGGGAAAGTATCCTATCCAGCATTTCAGTTGTAGATTTTTTTTGTTTTGTTTTTGTTTTMGGGGTTTCTGTACAACCCAAGCTGCGGCAGAGTGCCACTGTTGCTCAGAGAGATGTCCTGCACTCAGAGGAAGGTGAGTTTTTCTGATCGCTCTCATGCAGTTCTGCAGCAGCACTGAGGGTTTAGTCAACTTTATGTTGACTTTAAAGCTTATTCAGACAGTTACACTCACAAATGGGCAGGATCCTGTACACAGGAACAAGTGTGTGAATTTGCATTGTGTATTTAGACAAAAAGATGGAGCAGTATATCTTTGTCTTTTAGTTCAGGTCACTCCTCAGCTTCAGTGCTTTCCAACACTGAGCTGAGAGTCCTGGAGAGTTTTGGGGACAGAAGCTGTTTCTTCTCTGTGTGTGTGTGTGTGTGTGTGTGTGTGTGTGTGTGTGTGTGTGTGTGTGTGTGTGTGTGTGTGTGTGTGT